CTGACTGCAGCTTTGATTGTTGACCTAAATTCCCCTTTCATAACTGAGTCCTGTCACCTCTGGTTGGAGTCTCCCAGCAAAACAGGCACGGCCAACTTTCAGAAGTGCAGGGCACTGTTTTCCATTCTGCCTCGCGTGGCTCTGACAGCTCCACACCTGATGTGTTCAAAGTCAACCTGACCTCCCTCTTCCCCTTCCCCCACCTCACCCTCCTGGAAATGAAACCATAATAAAGGTTTTGGTTTTTTGTTTGGTTTTTTTTTTTTTAACTTTTACTTTTGCCTTCCCCTCTCTCACTCTCCCCCCACTTCCCATTGCTCAGCAAAGCAAGGAAACTTTCCCTGCATGGAGAATGAAATTCATAGTTAATTCTATGGCTGGGTTGGTTGCTGCAAAGATTGCTGTTATCCAGACACAAGAAATGGCACTGAAGTGAGAGAAGGAGGCCCTGGAGGATGTTATTTATAACATTGCAGTGGGTTATAGCAGCTTGTATGGGCTACTCCAGCCTCTCTTCTGTCAAACTCTGCCCACAGAGAGCTGCTTCTGGCTCTAGCAGCCTCCAGCTGTGAGTTCCTGTTCCTCTGCTCCCATCCCAGTTACAGCAATGCCTTCTGTCCTCACCCAGGGCTGTCTCCCACAAGTTCAGCAGCTGATGTTCAGTGGTGTGCTCATGCTGCCAAACCCTGCCCCGTGCACAGAGCCCACATAAGGATGTGGCTCAATTTAAGTCCCCAGAAAAGTCCTGAAAACAAAGTGGGTCATAAATGCTGGCATTGGTTAGGGGGGCTTCTGGAAGAGGTCAGATGGACAGTGATGGTGGAGCTGTTGTAGGTCAGTAGCCAAAGAACTGAGATTTTGCTTGCAAAAGAAGAGGGAGACTGACTTTCTCATTTTCCATGTTTGGCTTTGAGGCTCTGGAGTTGAATTATCCAGCTTTCCCCACTCTTTTAATGCCTAGGAATTTACTTTTACTATAAGGAACAAACATCCTAGGACTGGAAGAAGCCTTGTGGGCCACTGAAGTCTGTCTCTGGCCAAGCATAAAGGAATGTGGCATCATCCTCTGTTCGTTCACTTCTCCAGAATCCTCTGAGAGGTGACTCACTCCTTTGTGGGGAAGGGAGGCTTCCAGTGCCTCTTGCTGGAAAGCTGAACTAGCACCTCTTCTTTTTTTTTTTTCTTTTTTTTTTCTTTTTTTTTTTTTTCATCAAATATAAAATTCCATTTCAATCCCTTGAGCTTCAGGAACAAGAGCTTTAGAAGGAAAAAATCATTTAGACTAAGGAGTAAGAAGGGCTGTCAGTGTTCCCCTCAGCTGGAGCTCCATCCCTTTCTAGCAACTCAGGGCAAGCAGAAGTGAAGAAAACTGTTTGCTGCTGTATGAAACTTGTACATATTTTTTTAATCTAATTGCTGTGGGGAAAACAAACATCAGTTTTATTTCACACCATTTCTTGGCTCAGAAACTTCAGGCACATTCACCAAATTGTGGTTTTTCAGTCATTGGCTGTGTCTCATTTACCATGAGGCCTCTTCGGTTGGTAAAGAGATATTAAGTAGCTAAAAATGTCCTTTACCACATTATTGTAAAGAATTCTTGGTGTAAATGAGAATTTAAACTCTGTACATTTTTCATGTAAATCTTGTTTGTGGTCACAGCTGACTTGAAATTTGGAGTGTCAACCATTATGTGGGGTGATTTTGCTCAAAACCAGCCTTGTTTGGGGTAAAAGAGGCCTCTTCTTGTTTAAAATGTTCTTAATTATGCCTGAGAAATAACTCACGGCTATGGAACCTTTTACTAAATTGAAATAAATTGTGAAAACATCAAATTATTCAGTTTTCAGAAGTTTCTGGCAATTATTTCACATGTCCCTCTTCCAATGGCTTTGCCCTTATTAGTTGTCATAGAAGAAGTAATAAATTCTTTTATTATGACAACCAGTGTCCCAGCTGAAATTAGTTTCATTGTGCTGGGGACAAAACGGAAAAGTGACACTCCCTTAGCCAGAGGATCCTCAGTCCAAAGCCAAAAGCAAAGTGAAGGATTGGGAGAATAGGTGAAGCGTTCAAGCAAAAGAGGGTCATAAGGAACTGGTACAACTTGCAAGGGAGTTGGGTTTCTTATCCCAGCACAAGGGAGTGTGGGTTTCTTGTCCCTTTTTTCACATTTTTTTTCCTTTCTCTTAAGAATAAAACAACCCTTTCTGCTGAAAGGCTTGTGCTCAATCCATCTTTTCATCAAGAGCTGGATGTCTGCAATAGTAAAAGTTTGAGAAAAGAATACTGTACATGGCATAAGGATTCAGCAATGACCTTTGCCCTAAACTAGAAAATGCAAGGAACTGGAATAGTAGAGTGTTTTAGTTCAGCAGCTTTCATACTGGTGTGCTCAGTGGAGTCACTATTGTCACTGGATTTTTTCTTTTCCTGTCCTCCTTTGGCTCCCTGTAAATCTTGAATTGATGGCAGCTGTTTGAGCCCAACTCAAGACACATTGCATCACATCAGGGTTTAAAGACTCAAAGGCAAGGGGGGGTGCTACTATTCTGTAGTATTCCTCCATCAGCTCCTCGTGCTCAGCCGAGGTCAATCACCAGCATCATGCAGCACTTCAGAGAGAGGAAGATGCTCTTTAAATGCTGCCTGGGAAACTGGATTTCCATCCCACAATAATTTATCAGTTCTTTGGGGGAATATTTCTTGTCCCGGTCAGTGCAAAGAGCAAAAATTCTTGACCCATAAGACTGTATGGTGGACTTTCCTGGAACTGGAGACCTGTTCCAGGACTTCCAGCTGTCCATCCAACCATGCGGATCTTGGATGCCTGAAGAAACAGGTGGAGCAGCTTATGCATGAGCAACTGCTTTGTGATCCCCAGACCTGGAGGCTTTGGTCACTGGATGGCAAAGGAGACTGGAGATGGTGGGGGTTGTGGCAGGGATGAGTTTTCCTTGTGAACATCAACCAGAACAGCCCAGGGAGTCCCTGGGGTTCCCCTGGCCACGTTGAGGACATGCAGATTCTCAGAGGGATTTGTTGGGACAAGCCCATTTCTGCATCACTTTTTCTTCTCTCACTATGCTGGCATTTCCTGGCAGGCAAAAACTCTCTTACAAAATGCCTGATCAGCTCTAATGGTCTAGTTACAATAAGCTGAGATTTTTATGACTTATTTGGGAGAGGGACTTGTCTTGCCAGCTGTCTTCTTATTCACTGCAGTATTATCCACCCACTATCGTTGGACAATACCTTCATTTGAGATGCATAAAAATACAGACTTTTATGGGCTCTCATCCATCTGAAAATGAATGTTTTGTAAAAGTATTTATTTCATAAAGAAGAACTTAAAAACACTTCAAAAACAGACTCCAGAAGGTTATTGGTAGCTTTGGCTCTGGTATCACAAGTTCCTCAAGTAAATATCCATCCCAGCAAACGTCACCTTTTTTTTAGCACATTTGTTTTTTCCTTGCCTGGTTCTCCTCCTCTCCTTTCTCGTGATCAGAAGTAGCAGTATAAACTAGAAGCTGGTCTTGAAAAGGTTTTGAACTGAGTGCACCATACAGATGAATAAACACATTACCTTCCGAACCCTGGGATCTCTCTTCCAAAGGAAACAGGAAAAGGGGGAGCTCAGAATCCCTAGCAAAATACCAGCGTGCAGAAAAAAGGCCCGTTTAAATGTTTTTAACTTTCCCATCAGAAGAGTTTTTTTACAGGGGGAGGAGGTGGAGAGGGACAGGGTGTGAGGAGAAGGGGGGAAGGTGGGTGCTGGGAGAGGGGAGGAAAAATACAGTGAATGCTCCTGTAACCTTTGCTCTGTTGATACTAGACAAGACTGCACTGTTAATGAGTGATTGTTAACAGATGGCTCTTGAGCAACTTAGTCAGAAGCAGAAGATGTTATTTGGTTGTAGTGAGGGGAGGGTGAGGGTGCAGGGGTGAGGTAAGGGGATATTTAGTCTTTTCACGAGGAGTGAACTGTCAGAGATTTATGATTTTCCTTTAGGCTTTTGGAAGCAGAGGCTCTGGGGAAGGATTGTTTTCTATGTGCTGATAGTAGAAAGGCCATTTGGTGCTGAAAGCTCCAATGATTTTGTTTTTGGTGAGAGATGTCCCTGCTGCCGTTGGCCTTTGAGAACTGAAGGATGGAAATGTCTGTCTTTAACTCGCCAAGTCTTGTGTCCCAAACTGGGGAGGAGTGGGCTCTGTCCACTGCCTGGAGCTGTCTGAGGCTGGGTGAGAGCTCCAAGTATGGATCTACACTTTGGGAGAGAACTCTTTCCATGGGGCACCGAGTTGTTAGGAAGTGTGCCTGTGAGGGGGCAGGAATCTTTCTGAGTGTCTGCCTTTCTGTGGATGTCCAGCTGTGTGTATTTCTTGCCCTTTCCCAGTGTGGTGTAACCAGTGTACACCATGTGCTTACTGGTTTTTTATCGGATATGACTTTGAAGGCAGCCCAAACATGTCCCATTCCCTCTCTGTAGGATTTGTGTGCTTGAACTTATCAAGACGACTGCAGCTTCTCAGTGTTTCTCAAGTGTGCAGAATTTAGATTTGCTATCTATTTCCCTTCTAGACCTTATTAGATACAGGGTTCAGGGGTGTGAGGGATGAGTGACATCAACAGGGATTGGTTCTCAAGACTGTTTTTGTTCTCAACCATTGATGAATAGCTTGGAGGAAGGGAAGAACCAAATGCACAGTCCAACGTTTTGCTGATAGGAATTTGGAGAAAAGTTTTGGGTTTTGGTCAGGAAAAGGGAATCCCATTTGTACATGCCACTGGCAAATCTTTACCTTTAATAGGAAGTCTTGACATGACCTCCCACAACGGTGCACTAGATGATTTAAAGTCTTCCTTGTGCACTATCTAACAGATGTAGGTGAGTGTGTGTATATACATTTAGAGAGATATATTTACACAATTTAAAGACTAACACCTTCATTCTGTCATCCTTATTTATTCATATTTCTCTTTTGGGGGCACATAGGACTGTATGACAAATGTTCTTACACCTCCCGTGACCGAGGCTGGGTCCTGGGGATTAACACCGTCAGTGACCAGGGGAACAGAGACCCCCGCTATTTCTTCTCGCTGAAGACAGACCGTGCTCGCAAAGTCACCACCATTGCAGCACATCGCAGCTACCTCCCCAACCAGTGGGTGCATCTGGCTGCCACCTACGACGGGCGCCTGATGAGACTCTACGTGAACGGTGCCCAGGTGGCCACAAGCGGAGAGCAAGTGGGCAGCATCTTCAGTCTGCTGACCTTGAAGTGCAAGGTGCTCATGCTGGGAGGAAATGCCCTGAACCAGAACTATCGGGGTTACGTGGAGCACTTCAGCCTCTGGAGGACAGCCCGGTCTCAAAAGGAGATCTTGTTGGACATGGAGCAGGCGAGTCACAGGCAAGACACGTCCCTACCTCAGCTCGTTCTTCAAGACAGTTTACTGAATGTGAAAAGCACCTGGTCTCCCATGAAGGATGGCAGCAGCCCTCAGACCAAGTTCAGCTACCACCACGGCTATTTGCTGGACACCAGCCTGGACCCTCCTCTCTGCGGGCAGACGGTGTGCGACAACACGGACGTCATCGCCAGCTACAACAAACTGCCCAGGTTCCGCCGCAACAAAACCGTGCGCTACCGTGTGGTGAATCTGTACGACGACAAACATCAGAACCCCACTGTCAGCCAGCAGCAGATCGAGTTCCAGCATCAGCACCTCAACGAGGCTTTCAGCCGCTACAACATCACCTGGGAGCTGGAGGTGCTGGAGGTGAGGAACTCTTCCCTTCGCCACCGGCTCATCCTGGCCAACTGCGACATCAGCAAGATTGGGGATGAGAACTGTGACCCCGAGTGCAACCACACGCTGACGGGGTACGATGGCGGGGACTGCCGGCACGTCCGCCACACGCTCTTCAACAAGAAGAAGCAGAACGGGGTGTGTGACATGGATTGTAATTACGAGAGGTACAACTTCGATGGGGGGGAGTGCTGCAACCCAGAGATAACAGAAGTCACCAAGACCTGCTTTGACCCATATTCTCCTTACAGGTAGGCAATTTATTTTTATGATCATATTGATGAATATCTGTCTAGGTATCGATCAAACTACTGGCTGTTGAACCCTTTTATTGTTGCTATTATGGACTTTGGAGTGTAATGATTTCTTTTTTTTTTTTTTCCCCTCAGTATTTGGCTCACACTGCAGTTCTCCAATCTCAGTAATGCTCTCAGCAATGTCTTACCCCTGAATTGGTATTCTCCAGCCAGGCTAAGGAAAATCTGTGCTAAAGATTGGAGCAGCCGATTTTGAGAGACCCATTAGTTGTTGGCTATGAGCAGCATATTGTAACAATGCACAGTTTATTTTAACTCCAGACTCTGAGGAGTGGGGATTGGATGTCACAGAAAGCTCTTGTGTATTTGGAGAGGGAAAAGGCCCTCAGGCGTGAAACAGAACATGAATACTCTTAGGTAGAGTTTAATTCTGTAGCACTTCTTTGAAGGTAGGCAGGTAATTCCATACTCTTACTGCCGTGTACAGCTCTCTGTGGGCTCTGCTGTGGAGGAACAGCTGAGTCTGGGGGCTGTGATGAAGGAGGTGGGTACCAGGTTCCTGTTGCACACTCTGTGTGGGTAATCATACTCTTCTGTGTCCCTTTCTACACATAAATGAGAGCAGGGGTAATGCCACATCATTGCAGGGCAGCTTTCTGTGGGTGGATGTGAGCTCATAAAATCCTCATCTCCTCAGCTCAGGTGTCCTTGGGCTCAGTTTGAGGAGTGGCATCCTTGAATAACTTGCTTCAGATGGGTAACACATACCCACAACTACTCCAAATTCAGACAAGTTGGTATCTTTAAGTAATAAACTGTTTCTTGTGAATGAGTTACTATTCAGAATGAGTTATTATTCAGAAAATAATGAAAATTATTCAGAAAATATGAAGGTTGAAGCTGAAACTCTGTCATCTGCATTCCATGTTGCAGCTTTTTAGGGCAATTCATGGAGCCATAGAGGGGAAACTCCTAAATAGTCAGAACACACAACGCTAAAATTCAGGTTAAGAATGAAAGTTTGAGCTTTTCAGGAGTCCCTTCCATTGCAGCAATTCAGGCTGTATTTATAGCTTCCTTAATAGAGAGAAGTTTTTAAACAACATTATTGGCTCTACTGGAGCTTTAAATACACATAATTAAGTTGGAAAGAAAAGCCAATTTTTTTTTTCACTCCAGCGAGGTTGTTGTTTAAAAAATCCTTCTAGCTCAGTTTGATTTCAGTTACTTACCAGTGAACAAAGCTCAAATGGGGAAATACTTTAAATATTAATGCTTGAAAACACTGAAAGGAAAAATACCAATTTTTAATACTGTTCAAATAGAGAGGAACTCAACTAAGCAAATATCATCAAAGGCATAATGCAAATTGGATTGTTTTAACACTGTAGTTCTGAGAACTCGAGGTGCTAGTTATAGCAACTAGTAAAATTTTTAGAAAAAATACATTATTTTTAATCTGATAGTACCCTTTTATCACTTGTTCTGTGACCAGCATAATGCCCATATAAAATGACACAAGAGGAAACCTTGTAAATTATAGTTCACAGATTTAAGGCCGTGTCATGATGTTGTTCTGAGGCACAGAAATTTTTTTATTTCAAATGAAGCCTTTTTGCTTCACAGACCGTGCTTGCACAAGCCCAAGCAAGACATTGAGTTGCAAAACTTGAAGTTACTTTAGCACCCTGTAGTTGCTTTTCAGGCACAGTTTTGTGTTCATTTTGGAGACAAACACCTGGCTGTGCTTTTCTGGAGGACTTGCATCTCATGGCCTTGAGCTCACAGATGTTCTACAGGTTAATTTTTACTTGAGAAAAACCTCCTCTTGTCCTGAAAGAGTGAGGAAGGTCTGAAGAGCCTCTTCCATAGCCTAGAGCCTCAGAAAATCCAGAGATACTCCAAAAATCTTTAATTTTTTAATTTTTTTTTTTTGCAACAGAGAGATTTAATTTATTTCTCTTTTCACAGACATTGTATTGCAGCATTGATCATTGACAACAAACCACAGAGGGCAGTAGGAGAAATTCCATGTCTCTGGAGCCTTTATTTGGTGGCTGATGTACTTTGGCAGGGCTCAAACTCCCCGCTATGATGGGTGTTTGTACTCAGTAAGGCAAAATAGAGCAGTTAGGTCTGTGGACTTACCACTGGAGTTTGTAAGCCTGACTTACACTGCTTTGGGTATTTATGTTAACAAATACAGGTTTAAGGCAGTGATTTTGGCAGCAAAGCTTTGACTGTGTGCAGGGGTGAAGATTCAAATCCTGTGTTTGGCTTTGGTGTTGCTGTCAGCACCATCCCCTGAGAAGGAGATTGGTGACAGTCAAAGTCTGGTTGGCACCATCTGGGCCCATTTTGCATCCCCAGCCCCTCTTGTCATCACTTTCATTGGCCAAGAGTCCTCAGTCCCCTCTAGCGCAGACCTTGCACCAGAGCAGTGAAGACATTGCAGCCATGGAGAACTCACATCTCATTTCACGTATTTCCTCTGCCAAAGTTCAGTCCAACAACAGCAGAAGAAAGGGGGAAGATCCTTCAATCTGGTGAGGAAAGGAAGGGAAGAAAGAAAGATGAAGTAGTACCAATAAAAATTTTCCTGAACTTTATTTATAAAGACTTTTCAGAGTCTTCCTTTGGCTTTGTTCCTTCCACACCCTCAGTGTCAGCAGTTGTAGCCAGCTGTTCACCAAGCAGAGCTTATTAATGAAATACTTCTGTCCTCTGGAACCAACCAAAAAAGTGCTAATGCTTGTTTAATGCTGTAATAAACAGGAACCCTCCTCAGTGCCTCTTTATCCCTAAAAGATGATGTAGCTGTTCCCAGCCACTTTCCTTCTTCTGGTTATGATTCCCAGTCCATGAAGCTCCATCCTAGGGCAGAGTTACTCTGAGCCTTGATACAAAAAACACTGTGGGTGCTTTGTGACTAAGTGATACCCTTGGAACAATTCCAAGACACCTCTGATCTATGTTACAATTTTCTTGTGATCCTTTTGGGCACCCTGGACAAAGGGCTCAGGTACTTTGATGGTGTCATTCAGTCATTGTGGTGGTGCAATTGTGGTGACTTCAGAGCTGATCCCAGCAGCACAGCTGGCTGGTTCCTTTTCTGTTTCCTGCCTGTCTTTGGGGAACCTCTCCAAAAATTTAAACTCCAAAAAGCTGATGTTCCATGCCACAGTGAGGTGGCAGAGGTTTAAGTACATTTAAGTTTGTCAGAGAGACAGCAGTAAGAATGAGGACTCTGCTTTCTTAAAAAAACTCCTCTTTTTTAATAGCCTGCAGGGGAAAAAACAAAGGACTGGTTATCATTAGCCACACAGCAGGCTTTATCCAAGAATATCTGCCTCACTTCTTTTTATTAATTTCATGAGAGTGGGACAAAATGTATTTTGTCCCAGCAGAAGGTTTACAAATATTGTTCTGCTTTTCTGCAATTCCAGGAAATTAGAACATACTAAGATCATACAGTTTGGCCCAATACAAAGGGAAGGAGCAAGAATAAACACCCTTGCCAGAAAGACTCATTCTTTGTGTTATTTGGTATATTGCTGGTTACAAAACAGGGAAGACTTTGAGCTCATGACACCTATCATGGCTGCTTTTCAAAGAACTTGAAAGAAGCAGCAAGGGATCATAGGAAATCATGCTCGGTAAATGGCATTTGATGTGGTGAGTTCTTGCACCATCCTATGGTTAACTGAGATGTTCCTTTTATGTAATATTGGGCTTGCACATCAGGCTTCACCACAGGATTTCATGGACAGATAAGGAAGCATTCCCTTCAGTGCCTTCTTAGGAAAATGCTGATGAAATTCCTGAAACAGTAAAAGTACTGGAGTCTCTTCAAACTCCCTCAATCCATATGGCCTACCAAATACTTGCTGGAAATCACCCCAGAATAACTGTTCTGGGGACAGACTTTCTCAACATCCACATGTGTGCCCCAAAAGCTCACAGTCCTTCATTTCTGCCTAAACAAGGGTCAGGATGAGCTGTACAAGCTCTGGTCCATTTGCAGCAAACTGGCACCAAACCAAGGAATCATGGAGTCACAGAAGGAACCTTAAAGATCATCCAGTTCCAACCCTCCATGAGAGCTGGAGCCCAGTGTCCTGCTGATCCCACCCTCTTCTGTGTCCTTTTCTAGCACTGGTATTGGACAGTTCAGCTCTGTTCATATCGTGTCACACCAGCTCACTCAGGGTGAAGGGCACTGGCACATTCCAGGCATACATAAATTAGACTTAAAATACATGCCTGACCCATTTGTAGGAATTTCCACAGTGTTTTTGAGCAGCAGTGGGTGTGACAGAGCTGTGTATGAGCACACTGGGGTAGGGCATGTGGGCCAAAGCAGTAGCATCAGGAGGAGAAGGAGATGGCTAATCCATAGCCCAGGGCAGCCTCAGACAGGTGACAGAGCTGCACTTCAGGGCTCTTCCATGGAGTATCAGATAAACCTCTTTTCCTTCTCTTCTGCTGGAAATCTCTTCACGGGACACACTTGAAAAATATGGTCAGCTTACTCTGGAGGAGGGAGGCACACTGAATGCCCTTTTCCAGGAGCTAGAGTTGTAAGAAACACTCCTTGATTCCCAATAAAGCACTAATTTCCACTTAATCCTAAGCACTAAAAAGAACAGAAGAAATTCTTCAAAGCTCTTCAGTTCCGGGAGCTTGAGAACTTAATCCCCTGCCTCGAAGAGACCATTGTGCAGCTCTTGACATCAAGGATTCCTGCATTCACATAGGTATCAGACAGACATATAGCAAATACCTGAGTTTTTTGTCTAGGGATTCAGTGTTAAATGTCCAGTTCTTTAATTAGCAGCTCCAGGGCTGTTTAGAAGGCGAAGAGTAACGCTGTCAAGGACGGAGCTGCTGTATCTTGGTAGTTGTCACCCAAAAGCCAAGTCCCAACAGGAAATCCTCTGTTCTCTCTGTTTATTCTGTCCTCTGTTCCAGATGTCAGGGATGTTAATCAGCTG